GTCCTCTGTTTTTGTGCCAATCAGTTGGGTAGACCTGGTTAAAGGGACACTATAGTCACCAGAACAACTACAGCATATTTAATTTGTTCTGGTGAGTAGAATCCTTACCTTCAGGCTTTTTGCTGTAAACACTGTATTTTCAGAGAAGTTCACTGGCCACTCCTCAGATGGCTGTTAGAGATCCTTCCTGGGTCATAGCTGCCTAAAATGCATCTGTGAAGAAAATAGACTGAGTTCGGTATTTTCTTCTATGTTCGGGCTTTTCTGCAGTATTTTGTTCATGTTGGATCTATTAGTTCGGTAGTTTAAAACTACCGAACACCGACAACCCTCCTGGCTCATTAACTTCAAAAGAACCGTCTATTAAGCGCTCTCTGGGCGGCCGCTGTTCGTATAGCCGAATGCCACGTGGAACAGAAAACGGCGGCCATCTTGTTTTCACGAAAGGAGGCAGCGGGACTTGGTCGTTGAGTGTCTGGAACTAAAATCGGACACTCGACCTCCCGAACCACCGCTGAAACTACCAAACGCCTGCTTCCTTTAGTAGCCGAACAGCCAGAAGAGCGCCATTCGGTAGTTTGGTTCATATGAACAAGGGGAGCAATCGCTCCTATGAGCCAGGAGGATCCATTAGTTTTATGCCTTTTAATGAACTGACCGACCGCACACGCTGAATTCGTGGAACTGTTTTGGGCAGGAGCCTCATGTGTGGTCGGTAACTTATGACTTCCATACTTTTTAAGAACCCCTGAACCGATCTGGGTGAAATTTGGATATGTTGGTCCCCCAGATTGGGGCTATCAGGGGATATGTAATTTGTGGGGATACCGTGTGTGGAAAGGGGTGTTCTAATTTTTGGGAAAATTGTGTGCCCTCTGCCTGGAGATAATTGGGTTATTCCTTAACTTATCTCAATATCTCCCAGGCAGAGAGAGTGCGGGGGTTACTGTAAATCTGTATGTTGATTGGTTATTGTCTTTGTTTGCTGTGGGAGGTCCTCTTGCAGGGAGATTCTCATAAAAGCCAGTGTAGTCTCAATAAAAATAATTCCTGTTACACCCTTCATGAAGTCTAGGCTCATGTTTGGGGAATATTCTACTTGCTCGGGAGAATCATCTTGGAAGCTGCATTCATCTACACTATTGCTCTACCTCCTAACTGCAGCTATAATCACTTATGCTCAGCTATTGGGAAAGGAATAGAAGACCGCAGTACCATAACCACTGCAGGTCTTAACAACTCAAACATTCAGTGTCTACTCCCTCTGCATGCAAGCACTAAACTTTCCTCATAGAGATTCATTGAGGAGATGCTGATTGGCCAGGGCTGTGTTTGAATCATGCTAGCTCTTCCCCTGATCTGCCTCTTTTTCAGTCTCAGCCAATCCTACGTGGAAGTACCATGATTGGATCAGGCTACCGTACCACTTCTAATACTGGAGACCGTATCTTCAGAAGGATATTGATACCTTAGAGAGGGTTCAGAGAAGGGCTACTAAACTGGTTCATGGATTGCGGGATAAAACTTACCAGGAAAGGTTAAAGGATCTTAACATGTATAGTTTGGAGGAAAGACGAGACAGGGGGGATATGATAGAAACATTTAAATATATAAGGGAATCAACACAGTAAAGGAGGAGACTATATTTAAAAGAAGAAAAACTACCACAACAAGAGGACATAGTCTTAAATTAGAGGGACAAAGGTTTAAAAATAATATCAGGAAGTATTACTTTACTGAGAGGGTAGTGGATGCATGGAATAGTCTTCCAGCTGAAGTGGTAGAGGGTAACACAGTAAAGGAGTTTAAGCATGCGCATGCGTGGGATAGGCATAAGGCTATCCTAACTATAAGATAAGGCTAGGGACTAATGAAAGTATTTAGAAAATTGGGCAGACTAGATGGGCCGAATGGTTCTTATCTGCCGTCACATTCTATGTTTCTATGTTTCTATGTCTATGTTTCTATGTTTCTATGTTTCTATGTTTCTGATAATGTCAGCAGAGTGCTTGTTTTTCTCAGTTTAACAACATGCATAGAAACATAGAAACATAGAATGTGACGGCAGATAAGAACCATTCAGCCCATCTAGTCTGCCCAATTTTCTAAATACTTTAATTAGTCCCTAGCCTTATCTTATAGTTAGGGTAGCCTTATGCCTATCCCACGCATGCTTAAACTCCTTTACTGTGTTAACCTCTACCACTTCAGCTGGAAGACTATTCCATGCATCCACTACCCTCTCAGTAAAGTAATACTTCCTGAAATTATTTTTAAACCTTTGTCCCTCTAATTTAAGACTATGTCCTCTTGTTGTGGTAGTTTTCTTCTTTTAAATATAGTCTCCTCCTTTACTGTGTTGATTCCCTTTATATATTTAAATGTTTCTATCATATCCCCCCTGTCTCGTCTTTCCTCCAAGCCATACATGTTAAGATCCTTTAACCTTTCCTGGTAAGTTTTATCCCGCAATCCATGAACCAGTTTAGTAGCCCTTCTCTGAACCCTCTCTAAGGTAACAATATCCTTCTGAAGATATGGTCTCCAGTACTGTGTACAATACTCCAAGTGAGGTCTCACCAGTGTTCTGTACAATGGCATGAGCACTTCCCTCTTTCTACTGCTAATACCTCTCCCTATACAACCAAGCATTCTGTTAGCATTTCCTGCTGCTCTATTACATTGTCTGCCTACCTTTAAATCATCAGAAATAATCACCCCTAAATCCCTTTCCTCATATGTTGAGGTTAGAACTCTATCAAATATTCTGTACTCTGCCCTTGGGTTTTTACGCCCAAGATGCATTATCTTGCACTTATCCACATTAAATGTCAGTTGCCACAATTCTGACCATTTTTCTAGTTTACCTAAATCATTTGTCATTTGGTTTATCCCTCCTGGAACATCAACCCTGTTACATATCTTAGTATCATCAGCAAAAAGACATACCTTACCATCAAGACCTTCAGCAATATCACTAATAAAAATATTAAAGAGAATGGGTCCAAGTACAGATCCCTGAGGTACCCCACTGGTGACAAGTCCAAGCTTAGAATATATTCCATTAACTACAACCCTCTGTTGCCTGTTACTCAGCCACTGCCTTACCCATTCAACAATAACATGCAGAAGTACAGCTTCAGTATTGAATACAGTAAGATTTTGCTATATTTATGGAGGCATGATGGGCCCCAGGGGGCTAGATGGTGGTTTTAACACTATAGGGTTAGGAATACATGTTTGTGTTCCTGACCCTATAGTGATCATTTAATGAAATATTTGATCTCCCCACCAGCTCGCTAAGTGACAGACCAGCAAGGGCCAGCAAGGGAGATTGATTTGATCTCCTCGACTGATGTCGTTTGTGGGTGCCTTTGCCTGGTCT